GGGGGGGGGGGGGGGGGGGGGGGGGGGGGGTGGCGTTGGAAGATGGGTTGGTGAAAAATAGTCTAAATGACACACAAAACTTATGTTTGGCCAAAAATTTGAAGCCTGGTTTACCTAACCCGGCCCACTATTGGCCCGGCCTTAAATCCTAGATCATGGGTTTCATCAAACCCATGGGGGTAGGTTTCGAATGAGGGCTAACGGATTCAAGATACAAAAAAACAATTACACCCCATACGTATACAAACATGGGTTTGAATTACATTTGTGAAGGGACACAATAGTCATTTATATACAAATATATTATTATAGTAGTAATATATCCGTGCGCATACCAAACATGAGTATGGACTAGATTTAATACTGAATCCCATCTTTGTAAAGAAGGGTTTGGGTTTGGAAGGGTTTGGGAAAATCAATCCAAACTCTTCCCAAAAATCCATCCAAACAAGCCCATAATGATGTGAATTCAATGCAACCATTGGATTAGTTGTGAGTTCCAATGTTAGATAGAGTCCACTACTAATTCAATAGTTGTATTGAATTAGGTTTCTAAATTAGGTCCAAATAGCATTTTCTATACTTAATTGATGATCATAAAATGTAATCTCATTCATAAAATATCTAGACAAATAGACAAACCGTTACATGCACACACATACGTGTACCGGCCTAGTGGTAACTTGGGGGCAATTATGGAGGGGATGCTAGGATTACCAACCCCCAATTGTCTATGAGAGAAATTCGCATATCATAGTCAAATTGACTCTTTGGAAAAGGGAAATGTTTACATTCCTCCATTGCAGCCCGTAATTCATAAATTATGAAGAAATATCTCAACAATTTAATATACATTTTGTTATTTTAGTAGAATTGTGATAAAGGATGATGTAGACATTACAGTGCCAGTTCCACAGGCGGCCTTGGTGGTGGGAAATATGATGACATGACTGTAGAAGTGAATACCGATAGACTAATGGTTGCATTGTGGTGGTTGTCCAATACAAACAATTAGCTCACAACATAAACAGTATCAAGTTTAATATGCACTTAAAAGTAGTCAAACTTGTCTTCACTATACATATTCCACCATTTTCTTGTCGCTGAGGTTCAGAATACACATTCCTTACATAGCAATAGGTACCATGAAGGCAAAAAGGCAGTATCAATCTATAAATTTGCATTGGGAAGAAGAAAAACAATCACTTTTTGGCACAATGCATTGGGAAGAAGAAAAACAATCACTTTTTGGCACAAAACGCCATCCTTTACCTCGCCAAATCCCCCACCCTTTTCTTATCTGAAGGCTTGAGAGGCTTAACTATATATACGATCGTTGTATTACATTTTCAAATGCCTGATATAACTACAATGACAAATTTCATACATTCTCAATGTTACTAGGTACCATACCTCATCATTTAAAGCAGAAAATATAGCAGTCAAACTATCAGCTTGTGCTAGAAAATCATCAAATTCTGCATTTCCGTGCAGGGAGGAAAAAATAGAATGTCGAACAGTAACATCAGCATCAGCCACAGCTGCAATAAGAAGCTTTTCCACAATCTGCAGGAAGAACACTATCGTTGAACAATCTAGCAAACGAAATTTGCACATGTTTGAATCATTTTGGAAAAAAAAATATCGGTCTGTTTAGACATCTTGATAACATGTTGATGTAAGCCTCACACACCATCAAATAGCAAACATCAGCATATCTGATTTCCAAGTAAATAAGCACAACTGCACACGCATATGCGAGCCAGCCAGCTAGAAATCAAAGCCCAAAAGATCATGGATTAAATAACTTTACAAAATTAAAAATTGATGAATTAATATGCTTCATGATCAGGGTGCAATGGCAGATTAGAATTAATGTAACCACTCAAACGTAAATAATAAAAACAGAAAAAAGTAATTGGCAATAGAAAAACTAAAAAGGAAATTCTTAAAGCTTGTTAATAGGCACAGGCAACTCATAGCTGGCTTTCAAATATCTGTATCCACAAGGAGTAAAGCAATACACATTAAGCAAGACACGAACAATTTTTCTTGCTTGGACTTGTTAATAAAATATTCAAGGAGTTGATCTTCCTGTAACCCCAGTGACGTACTTAGAAGTACTTTGTCACCTTATGGATAGGCTTGAGCCTCTGCCTGCGCTTCAAGTTAACATTTTGAGGATAAGGATGGATCTGCCACAAATCTGCATATAGCAAATTAATGACACACAGATTGGAACTCCCCACCCTCAATCCATCATGACTACATTTAAATGCTACAAATGCTTAGTACCCCATACGCACACATCCATGTGGACAAGCTTTCGCCTTTTAGACGAAGGCGAAGAGTAGTACAGGAATATTTTCAGAGGTTCACTTTGCATTTCTGTAGGCAACAGGATGCAAACCTGTGGTGCTATGCAAGGAGACCAAGCCACAAAAAAACCAGGCGACAAGGATCAATTGGTTCCACATTCAAACTTTAGAAATAAAGCTCACCTGCTACTATCATAGGCACTCTCAGACTCTTAATTCGAAATGTGATACTTCTGCCAAACCATCCCATAACAACCATTTTCACCTACACAGACTCCATCTATACTTGGCAATTCCAGCAACTCTCACAACTCACATCAGCTACCCAACAATCCTGTGAATCCCTCCTAAATCTAGTCTCCAAAGCTAAAAACTCTCTATCTACCCATAATGATCAACCAGCACTCCCAGCCAACAGCGATCAAAAATATCTGGAAACATCTGTTTCACCAGCACATCTTTGTAGCAAATATCACGCCAAGTACATACCTTAAAGCTCTTTTTCCAGCCTGATCCAGATATTTTAGACACAATAATCCAGATCCACCTAATATAATAGGTTATGTTTAGCCTTGTGATCTCCAAATTCATCCAATCATCTCTGGACCCTCTGCATTTCCCAGTGACAATATGAATTAAGAGGATACTATTATCAAAAATCCCATATAACAGTTCCCCTAGGTCTTATCAAATTTCCTTCAACTTCCTAGTTCCTACGACCCAGCATCCTAACTTCACGGGAGGCTCCATAATAGAGGAAATCTGAATACTTCATCCGTCCAATACCAAAGGATATCCCTCTGCTACTTTTCCATCCTCTCTGCAACCAAATGCTGAATGAAGCCACAAAATACATTAGGAGGATACTTCTCACAATAGTAAATTTTCCTCCCTTTCACAAGCATTGCCTCTTCCAACAAGCCAATTGCTTCAGAAACCACACCAGTATTGAACCGACAACTGCCGCTATAAAAGAAGATCTCATAAGAAATTAATTGAGACCCTAACCTGAAACAGCAATTAACAACTTCATTCAGCCTACTTTCCCAACTAAAACACCCTTCTTTCTTGCCCATGTTTGCTTCACACCCTACACAGCCCCCAAAGCATAACAATACAAACTACAGCTGTCTAAGTTGATCATAGTGTTCTGAAAAGCTCGCCTAGGCGAGAAGCAAAGCAAAGTGAGAATCTCTCGCCTTGAGCACCCTAGACAAAACGAATGTGACTGAAACGAAAAAAAAACGAGAAAAGCGAGCGCTTAAGCAAAAAGCAAGAAATCGAGTGTCTTAGTCATGCAAGGCGAAGATGTTTTATTTTTATCATGGACCGTTGGATTGGGCAATTGGATAAAAAAATTATAGGATGCTGATACACCAAATTATCCCCTTATCCCATAAATACAGCCCCAAAACCCTAATTTTGCTCAAATTGGTTGTTGGCTTCGCTGCTCCTTTCCTCGCGGGAGGACACGATTATTGGCTTCGCTACTCCTTCCTCGCTGATCAAACGACGACAAAGATCGCTTCTCCTTCCTCGCTGATCGCTGGTCCTTCCTCGCTGACCAGACAACAACGAAGATTGCTGCTCTTTCCTAGCTGCTCCTTCCTCGCTCATCGCTGCTCCTTCCCCTTTCCCGCTGATCACATGTTAATCTCCTCTTTTTCTTCTCTCTTTTATGTCTCTTTTCTTTTTCTCTCTTTTGGTTCTTCTTTCTCTCTTCTAGTTTTAGTTCTTTTTTTTTTTCCTACTTCTATTGATTGTCTAATGCTGAGATTTTTTTTTTTCTGTTTTCTATTTTTTTTCTGATTCTACTCCTTTTTCTTTTTTTTTTTTTTTGATTCTGCTTCTGTTTTTTTTTTCCAGCTTCTGCTTCTGCAGTTTTGTTGATTTTGCTTCTGCTACTTTGATAATGTTGATTTTGTTGTTCTAATAGTGTTGTTCTGCTTCTACTGTTCTGATAGTGCTATTCTGCTTCTGCTGTTCTGATAGTGCTATTCTGCTTCTGTTGTTCTTTGTTTTGATGATCCAAGCTTTAACACAGGTCAATATGAAATTGTTTACAACTTTGTTACAAGGATCAAAATTTCGTTTCGAAGTACCGTTTCGGTCAACTCAAAAATAGAAACGTTTCGGAAACATTTCGGAAACGCAATGGAAACGCAGAAAAAATATGGAAACGCATAGAAACACAAATGCAATCCATTAATTTATAAAGATATGCTAAATAATTTATTAATTCAACATATTTATTAGGTTAACATCAATTTATACAAGAATAAATTTAAATTTGAGGGAAAAAAAGGCTTGACTTGAGGCGAAAGTCACTTAAATTAGTTTCAAACACTTAATTTTTATGAAATAAACACATTTTTACATAATATTAAGGTCTTATAATACACATGAAATGCTAATGAGTACATACTTACATGGTTACATCCATTCCCCTGTGGAGTGTCGAGCAGGCTCATACATCGGTGTAGGCTCTGGGTAGCTACTTAGAGAAACTCCATATGTGACATAAATATGATGACAATAGTTACTCCAAATCATATTATTACGGTAATATAATCCAATTAATAATACTATTTTATTATAATACTAATAATGAAGGGTATCAAATTAAATTAATGATACTTATGTATACTTAAAAATTAAATGTAATTGCAGTGGGTATTAAATGTAATTACAGTAGGTATTAAATATAATTACATTAGGGTATTAAATGTAATTGTTAATACTTATAAAAAAAAAAAAAAGCAAAAAACTTGCACAGCAGTGAGGTATTAAATATAATTACAGTATGTATTAAATATAATTATAATGGGTATTAAATATAATTATAGTAGGGTATTAAGTGTAATTATTTATTCTTATAACAAAAAAATTATAAAAGACAGAAGAGCAGTGGGAATTAAATGTAATTATAGTGGGATATTAAATATAATTATAGTGAGTATTAAATGTAATTACAGTGGGTATTAAATGTAATTATAATGGGGTATTAAATGTAATTATTCATAATGAACCGAATATATCACTGTTTTGTCGAAACGGTTCGAAACAATGTCGTTTCGACCGAAACGGTCCGAAACAGTACCGTTTCTACCGAAACTGTCCGAAACAGTACCGTTTCGACCGAAACACTGGAATTTTGTGATTCAACTATTGTTTCGTTTCGGAGTGTTGAAATTCCGAAACGTTTCGGACGTTTCGGACGTGTCGACACGACATTTTGATCCTTGCTTTGTTATGAAATGTGATTCAGTACATTTGTACAAGCCCACGACTGTACAAATGTTTAGTATATATAAAATTAAAAAATATTTAGAAGTAATTAAACTAAAATATTTACTTTTTTTTTTAAACTGTTCGTTTCGCTTTGGTAAAGCGTTTCGCTTCACTTCCCGCTTCTCGTCTAGGCTTTAAGAGTCTTGGTCGTTTCGATTCGCTTTACGCCTTAAATAACACTGGATCATACTACTCAAAAAAAGACTATGGAATCATCAACAATTCTACAACTACTTCCATCAACTCAACAAAGTCTTAATCCCAACTATTTGGGGTTGACTACATGAATTATGTTTCTCCATTGTGCTTTATCAAAGGTCATATATTTCGTTAAACCATAAGTTATCGTATCCTTTTTCACTATTTCGGTCACCTAGGAAGCACGAATACTCGCCGGAGGTTGATGTGCCGATGTCGGACACGTGTCCGACACAAATACGAGTAGGGCACGACCGGACACGTTTCCGACGCCTTTACTACTGTTATTCTGAACAATGAAAAAGAATTTTTTGGTGCCAGATACGACTCGGATACATAGGGATACTGGGGGAAGAAGAGACGAAGGGACATACTAGAATCCGAATTTGCTTCAACAATCTGTTCAGATATGCTTCAAGCCGCTGCCTTTTTTCTCTCTTCTTCTTCCTTTTCCTTCTACTTCCTCTCCTTCCTAAGATGGTCATCTGCACCAATTGGACTTCTTTATCTTTTTCTTTCTTTTTATTTTCTCTCTCTCAGACAATTTCAATTGATCAAAGACGTTCTTTTTTAATACTTTTCTATTTTTTTTGGTCTAATTTATTTATTAGTTGCCAAATAAATTAACTCACAGACCACTTTGGTGTTAGCCCACAGCCCAATTTGATGTTAGTCCACTATCCAATTCTAACATATTGCCTATTGCCCAATTTAATATTAGTCCATTGCCCCATTGTAAGATATTAACCAACTACTCAATGATTTTTAGGTCTTATTATTAATGTTATAAAATATATAATATTATTTTAATTAGTCGTATATTTGTTGTACTCGTGTCCTATATTTTAAAATTTTGTCGTATCCCCATATTCATATCGTATCAGATACGACACCCGTGTTCATATCCTTACTTCCTAGTCGTTCAACATTCTTTTAAGTCTACCTATGCCTCTCTCATTACCATAGATATGTATACATATTGCTCTATAAACATGTTTAAATCTCCCAAGTTGATTCTCTCTTTATTTATCTCATATTGAGGCTACTTCTACGATTTTTTGCCCCCCCCCCCCCTTGTCACCACCAAAAAAAAAAAACAAGAAGAAATAAATCAAGAGTAACGAAAATTCAAGGAAAACAAAAGCTTATCATAAAAGGTTTTCTTAAATTCCAAAACCAATTAAGCCCCTCAACACACTTCCTTTCTTCTAACTTATCAGAACAAATAAAAACAAAGACAAGAGTCCCCTTACCCCATGCCTCTTGAGCAAGGAGGAAGGTCGCAAAACAGAGAATCTATCCATTTTAACACACAATTTCATGCACCTCATCCATCTGTTGGCAAACAAATCAGAGTATATAACTACATCAAAAATTGGATATCACCTACACAATTTTGCATCCAAGTGGACCCCGACACAACCTTGCGGGTGCAGCAAAATTTCATTCCCAGTTCCGCTGATACATGCTTTTTTGAGCAAGAATCCCCTCTTTCTAATAAATTTGCAACAATAAGACAACAAGAAATACCGTAGAAGGATTTATGAGTTTCCAGGACAAAAGAGACCAACAAAAAATTGCACTTCTGATTTTGCTCGAAAATACTAAGCATATAAATACTCATAAAAAAAATTTGTGCAAGGATTACATCAGCCCTAGAATCCTAGCCTCTGATTACTTCAGAAACTCTTTAATCCTAGCCCTCTAAGAAACTTAAAAGCTCACATAACAGTAACATGCCTATTTTAAAAAGGCTACGAGCATAAATACTACAGCTCAAGACAAGTATAGCAGTGGTCCCACTTGCCCTGACCTTAGTAAGCCTCTTAGATGCTCCTGCATTGCTTTTCCACTACCTGTACACATTGAAAGCCAATACTTCATTAAAAGCTTATATGCACTCTAATGGCCAAAATCCATGATGCTCACTGCTCCACACTTCTTCCCACATAAGAACAAGGAAAGAAGCTTTCGAACCCCCTTTAATTAAAGACACAAATAATCATCCCCATCATGTACTGCCTTTAACTCGTCAGCATTTTAGGGCATTATCACTACTTAGAGACATAAATGCTTTCACTACTTCAACTTCCATGAACAGACACTCCAAGCACTCCTTATCTTCGCCCACATGCATACCCTTCTCCACGCCAGTTTCTGATAAAATACTAAACTCAATACCAAATAATTGAAGTCATCTACAGATGAACTCTTTATAGAAGTTGATGTTCCAGGATTCAAATTCTCGTGCCCCAGTCATCTCCTGTAATAATTCTATCCATCATTATAGGGTGGACATGAAGTAGATAGCATCTTTGGAGGCAAACACGACCATGGATAATTTGAATTAGAGGGACAATTATAGTAAATAGGTAATGTATAAGCAAGTAGGTGAGAAGAATATGAAGCTTCTTAATTGTGAGGTTGCTTGAGAGTTGTGGAGCCTGTTATATTGGTAACGGTCTTGTTTGGGGGAAAATAGGTCATGCGAAGGTGCTTGGGTGACACATTTGCCTTGATGGTGCAGGAGGGGGCAAGAAGGCATCAACCATGCCCACGCCGCTCGATGTATTGTATGTTGTAGCGGAGAGGAGATGTAGAAGGTCTCCTTGACAAGGTGTAGCTTTCAAGATAAAGTCAAAGTGTTGGTGTTGGCACTTTTATTTTTGGCAAAAGGACCTTCCCGTGCTTTGTAGATTCTTGTGTCCAAAATTGGGGTAAATTCAATTTGATGGAAACATGTAGGCAGCAATACCTCGTAGACATCGCATGTAATTGGGTGTTGCTCCTATTTGGCCCCTTAATAGATTCTTGTTTCCCAAAGGGCCCTAAAGATTGTTTGCTTAAGGATTTAACTCAACCGACAAGAATATATTAGAAACGAATTTATAAAGCACCGTGATAGAAATTATTGGGTCAAAAATCTTGGTATCCATCATAGCATATTTGATGCATAGTAAACAGAATACAATTGGAGGCTAAATTTAGGAACACATTTGAATAAAACTTCAGAAATTCTTCAAAGATTCTCACTCAATAGTTTTCCAGCAGCCTCAAGAAGAAAGCCATAATGAAGTTGCCAAGATCAGGCATATTCAAATATTACAATTCTAAAGCACCTGTTCACTCTTCAGATCAACATCTACCCCAATCATTAACTTACCAATCAAATTTACTTCATCAGTAAATAACAATCACCATAACATAAAAAAATCTTATGCATGATAAGATTAATAGCAACAAACTCCAATGTTACATGTGAACCATAAAAAAAGCTATTTGTGTCCTTGATGGATAAACCTTGCTTACCAATCTTCCAACCCTAATTTATGGCATGGAAGTCTAAGGCTCCTTTACAAGTTTTTACTGGATTGCTTGCACCTAAGAGACTCAATACCTACAATGTGCTACAAAAAAGAAGACTATCCTATTTCTTCTAGAGCAATGGTGTATGAAGTGCAAATGCAAGGAGGAAAGCATGGATCACCTATCTTTGCATTGTTCTTTGTTTATAATTTGTGGAGTAGGCCTTTGGAGATCTTATGCAGATGTGAGGTTTAACATTGTTTTGGGTGGTGTGCTCGGAAAGAAATGGGTGAATTTTGAAGAATTAGAGACTTCTTGGGAAAATTAATGGGATACAATCATTTTCATGTCTTCACATTGTTTTGGGAGGTATGCTTAGAAAGAAATGGACGAATTTTTGAATAACACAAGACTTCGTGGAAAGATTTATTGGATAAAATCATTTTTCATGGTTTCTCTGTGGTAACCCACATCTAAAGTCTTTGAAGAAATGCCATTCTTTTTTAATAAGGATCATTGGCCTCAAGTGTCTGCTGATTGTTGAGGCTTGATCATTTCTTATGCTAAGCTCATAGCTTTTCTTTCTATTTTTCTTATTTCACAAGGACTCATTGTCCTCTCATGTATTTTTTCACGTTTTTTGATTATTAATGGAGTTTTCATTTTTCCTAGCAAACAAAAAACCTATATAGTGGAAAAGCATGTTCAGCGGCAGATTTCAAAATAAAGGGATACAATTTCATGAATCTTAAGAATTTAGTCTTCATTGATACCAGACAGATTGATAAACATGGATAAACGGCAAAGCAATTCACGAATAAGACAGATTGCTTAAAACAAACCTCTTCAACCAGATGGCGTCGCTTTCCCCCAGCTCGACCGGACCTACTAGAACTAAACTGCATACACGACATGCCAGAGAGAGAATTTGCAACTAATTTGCAGCAACAAAGTGCAGCATCTTTCCGTGTGACCCCATCCTCATCTTCCAAATATCCAAGAACAGATTCCTTTGCAAACTCAAGGAGATCATGACCCTAAAACAAATAGCAGCTTCACAGTGAATTAACATGAACAACTTTCAGCAAAATTAAGAAAAACAAGAAAGCAGACCTTGAAATTAAAACGCGCAAGAGTTTGCAAAGCAAGTTGCAATAAAGCAGATCCACTGATTTCTGACACTTGCTGGGTGACATGTGTCATATTTCCTCGACTTGTGGAAACAGGAGGCTTTGCCTGGGCATAATGTGTTCTTGAAAGAACTACTGAAATGCATTCAAGTAATCGCTCTTGAATAGTTGACAGCAAAGAAGGAATACTGAAATGTCCACCATTGTTTCAGGTCAAAATCCATAAAGTCAACTTATTGCAAAAAAAAAACCAGTGGTTTGTGTTTCTCAGAAGATAGTCTACCTGATGGTTATTTGCTCGAGGGCTTCTACTAGTGTAAAGGAAAGACCAGCAGAAAACATTGCATCCAAAAGACCACAAACATGAGGTTCCATCGCTGGCCCCATGGCTTTTGTGATGCTTCCAACACAAGCCAAAGCCTCAAGTGATGGCCTACCTCTACGAGGAGCAATCTACAAAACCAAATTATGCAAACTCTCACATAATTTGTTTTCTACTAGAAGGTGAAACAATGGCCATAAGACCAGTTTTATTAATGGCTTAGGTAACATACTGCATCACGTAAATGAGTAGTTAGTGTCGGCAAATAATGTACAAGTTCACCATCCAAAGCACCAGCCATCTCCCCAAGAGCAATGAACCCACTGGCACGTTCTGCTGGAATTTTAAGAACAGTAAGGATATGATCCATGCAAATCTGTACCAGAAAAAAATCTCCTGAGTACAAGATTGGGCAATCAACCTCAAAGATAAGTAAAACACTTCCATCAAAGCCTCCTCCAATGAAAAAAAATTGCATGGTGTAAGAAGGGAAAAGATGAAAGATAATCTCACACACCTTCAGATAGTTTGTCACAAAACGATCACGCAAGAAATGAGCAATGCGAGGAAGCAGAGAAGTTATGCTGAGGCGAACAAGCTGATCCCGATGCTCTAGGTATCTGAGAACAATTTCAGCAACCTCTCTGTACCTTGACATCATGAACTCGCCTGTATTCCTGCCAGTTGGAAACTCAAATGCACTCTCATTAACATAATCAACTAATAAGGGAGTGATGGATAGTGGGCCATGGGTGCAAATATATATATATGACACAAAACTCGAACATATTCCAACCACCGGCTAATTTACAATTTTTGCAGTTCATATTCCACGGAAAAAAACTGCAACAAAAAAAACGGAAGTCCGATGGTACAGAGGAAACATTGTCTTTTATTTCTTTTATAGGAAACAAGACTTTTATTGATGAAATGAAAAATAACAAAATGGTGGATAAGGACTCCAGCCATGGTTGGAAAGAGAAAACACAAGCAGAAGACAAAAAATTCTATTCCCAAGCTGCTTCCAAATTTTGTACTCTGAAGGAAAGCAAAATGCCTGAACGCATTTGTGACCGAAACAGACAATGGAGCCAAAAACTTGACTCTTTCCCAAAAGAGATCCCTAGATTCAACCTCTCCATCAAAGTGTATCATTTCTTTCCTGACAAATAACCCTAAAAAGGGACACAACCAACAAAAAATAAGGCACAATCAACATCTCAACCAACCTCAGAAGCTCCCCAACTGCAAGTAAAGAACCATGTATGCTGTGAACAGGAGCATTTCTACCCAAACCATCTTGTGTAGCCTCAAACATACGATAATACCTGTCAAAAGCAAAATTATGAACACAGATATAGAAAAAGCATGTATATACTTTTTAACTGCAAGAGATCATCTGAAAGACCGAGTATGAGCTAATATAAACTACTTCAGAACTTCTACGTTGAGCCCAACAGCCCACCAGATACAACAGAAGGCATAGTAAAAGAATCAAAGAAGGAAAAGGAGCCAAGATGGCCTTCACTGTCAAACTTGTCTGTAACAAATCATGAAGCACCTCGCTTGATGGATCTTATCAGATATATAGATATCATTTTAAAAGAAAGAAATGAGAGTGTGAACAAGTCAGTATAAGTAGGAAAACTTCAAACACAGCCCACTTGGGACCTTGTTCAAGCTTGGGTTGAAGGCAGGCCTTGTCTTGAGGTTTTGTTAGGTTTGTAATTTTACATATTCCTAATTTAGTTTCATGCATGTTTCCTCAATTGGGTAAAGGTAGTTTTACAACCTTCATGTTCTGTCCGCTCAAGCAAAATAGTAGGGATAGTTGCATGTAACTAGGGGATTTTTGTGTTTTTATTTGGAATGTAATGTTTCTCCTTTGATGTTTGTTCCTCGTTTTGAATCAAAAAAAAAAGAGTTAAATAGTGCCAAATTGGGTTGCTTCCTAATATAGATTCATTCAATATAGAAATAGTATATTGTTATTAAGGCCACCAGGACAAAAAAGAGGGTGTGAACAAGTCAACATATCTATATAATACAATAGCTCATACTTTGAATTTTATCCCAGTCATATTTTCACACTCAAAACCATCACCAATCACTTACCTCACCCATCATTCCTCTGTCAGACTCAAACGTCAAGTCGCATCACTTATTTCTATCACATGTTTAATCATTTATATATTTCCTCCCTAAAAACATCACATCACTCACTTCTATCATATGTTTAATTATTTAATATTTGATTAATTTATAGTTCATATAATTTTTATTCCAAACATTATCCATATAAAATAGTATACACATATTACAAAAATTTAATATAGTAGGATCGATTTTTTTGGGCGCTCGAATTTTATAGGCACGGGTTATGACTAGTGTGTGAAAATTATACATAGGCACCACTTGGGACCTTGTTCAAGTGCAGGGTGAAAGTGAGTCTTGTCTTATGATTTAGTTAGGTTTGTAACTCTATATTGTTAAGAAAGCTTGCATCCCACATTGCATAATTAGGACCACCAAGGTTGGTTGTGTCCTCAGTTGGGGTAAAGGTATTTTTAAACCCTTCATGTTCTAGGCCCTTGAGTTAATGGAGTGACACATTGGGTTGACTTATGAATCATAATTCAATGAATTTTAGAGAAGTTTTGGCATCAGAAGTTTCAGGATTTCCCCTTTGGAACTGATCTATGCCTCGGAACTTTCTTACACTACTAAGTATCGCATAAGTAGGATCTCCAATTGCACGTTGTTACATGAAGCATTAATAGCTCTAACATCTCATTAATTTCCAACACAGGAATATGTTCTATGTTTGCTACTAAGGTGATTAATTTGAGGTTCTTAAGACGGAGAACTTGATCAAGCTCAAACTATGCCACAATAGACTCCAACCCCTTTGAAATCAATATTTCATTCATGAAGGTATCGAAGGTGCGGCCATTACCAATTTGGTTCAAAGTGGGGCTTCTGCAGTCTAGAATGGCTATGCAAAACAAATCCACTAACACTTTCTATGGGAGTATATTATTAGGTTTTCCTAATGCTACTCATAGTTATCCACTAATCAAATATGCCATGCTGCTCTTTACAACAAAAGTGGGGCTAAGGTGGATTATTTTGAGGCATGGGTTTTGACTAACATGACAAGGGATTTCAGTCTCAGACAACACACTTCAACAATATACGGCCTACGAAAAAGTCAACCTTGTCAATTCCACAACTTGACTTGATCTAAACCTGAAATTGAGAAGTATTCTGCAGTAAAGTGTCCACTCCACATAATAGACAGAAAGTTGCCAGGCGTTTCAGGGACCTTTTCTACTCCCTTCTACAATCCCTCCACTCGCACCAAATATAACCTGTGTTGATCTGGCCGATGCAGATGCAGGTTGCTAGGAGCGGTGAACTTAAGTACAAACCTGACATCAACAATACTGGCACAAAATGGTTGCCATGAGAAACTTCTTTTCCATGAGAAACCTTAATTAGGAGGCACCAAATAATGAAGTGCAATGCATGTACATGCATTGAGCCTCAAAAAATTCCTAAACTCACTGAAAAAAACCATCAACACGTCATAGAACACAGTGACATGACACCTCCTATACCTTTCCTTCCACGTTTCCCATTACCAAAGATGCAGCATTCGTAGGCTTCATAAACCTCTTCCCGAGATAAGTGCCAATCCAACTACAAAGCAACGCTTTTACTTACACCCACCAGACTGAAGCAATATTAAACAACACAAAACACTTGTGTGACCAACTCCCGTGCTACATCACCATGAGCATCTAAATCGTTGATTTTCTCCACCATTGGCTTGAGATACAAAACCAGTCAACTAGAATTTTGCCCTCCACTTAAGGCTATCTACAGTCAAGATGGCATCTAGCATTGTTGTCCAGGCAAAGAAAGCAACCTCCAAAGGTCCTCTGGCATTAAATAATTATCAAAGTATGCTAGTACATAGACATTATAATGCAATTTGGGGAGCCTATTGAAGACAATGAGAGGAAATCAACAAGCTCCAATAGCATAAGCCGTATTCAATCGCAAGCATGAAAGAAGGATACATGACATCAGAAGATAATAGTTAAGGAATCGGTAGCAGCCTTAAGCACTAAATCTCATACCTACTTCTCTTGAAGGATAGAGGAAGCAATACTAGTTTCTCTCTCTCTCTCTCTCTGCTTTTTCAAGGGTAAAAAGTTTCATAAAACATATTCAGCTGGAAAAAATGAAAATTAATTATTAAACTTTCAGCTGAATTGATCAGAATCTATGAATCTAAGACTCAATGAGAATTCTTGCTCTCTCCATTAAAAATACAGGATATGGCATTTGCCTAAATGATAATCAAGAAGCACAGTTTAGAGACTATTAACTAACCAAAACTTCCAAAATTTCAACCCAAGGAAAGCAAGGGTTCGAAACACAGACTGAACCCCAACTGGGGGCGGAATTATCTAAAACAGGATCTGCCCACCCAAAGAGTATCTATACCATCTGAAACTCTTTGAAATGAAACACCCTTCAAAAGATTAAATTTGCTGAAAACGACAATTGAGCCAATAACCCATGACACTTCGTGGAACTGGATTAGTTAAATAGGCATATAAATAGTTAGTTTGGTTTTCACTCACCAAATCCAAATGGTCAAAAGTCATCATAACCCACAACGTGCCCAGCCAACAAACCAAGGGAATGGAAATGGACATAACCTCATTGCCAACTATGGCAAAGCCAGTCACCGAAAATTGGCAACCAATCACCATTAACACTATTGACAACTTTTTTGTTCATTCCAACAATATCCTAATGTTTCAAATCTAAATCATTAAAAAACAGATGGTACTAGTGGCCCTGGTGGTGGTAATAGTTGTTACTCTCTCAATTTGGCAAAATAATAACATGATTCACTTTAATTGACCCAACTATTGATCTACTGACCCCAAAGTTAGTGTCTCCTCAAATAAAGTTAAATGTCAAGGTTTAAAAATACTGACAAAAAGGTCTGAAAATTCAGATAATATAGCCAATTCTGACTCTTGATAGGAGATTATAATCTGATTTATAAGCTTCTATCAAATCTAAAGGAAAATTAGATCTCTCATTACATAAGGAACAAAGAAAAAAGGGAAAAAAAATCACAGATTTATGTTACGGAATCTTTGGTTATTGATGTCACATTCAACTACAACCAAATAAATTCTCTCCGAATCCAAAAGTTGGGATATCACAAACAACCAAATGAAAGACACTCTAAACAAGAACACTTTTGAGGGAGTANGCTGGAAAAAATGAAAATTAATTATTAAACTTTCAGCTGAATTGATCAGAATCTATGAATCTAAGACTCAATGAGAATTCTTGCTCTCTCCATTAAAAATACAGGATATGGCATTTGCCTAAATGATAATCAAGAAGCACAGTTTAGAGACTATTAACTAACCAAAACTTCCAAAATTTCAACCCAAGGAAAGCAAGGGTTCGAAACACAGACTGAACCCCAACTGGGGGCGGAATTATCTAAAACAGGATCTGCCCACCCAAAGAGTATCTATACCATCTGAAACTCTTTGAAATGAAACACCCTTCAAAAGATTAAATTTGCTGAAAACGACAATTGAGCCAATAACCCATGACACTTCGTGGAACTGGATTAGTTAAATAGGCATATAAATAGTTAGTTTGGTTTTCACTCACCAAATCCAAATGGTCAAAAGTCATCATAACCCACAACGTGCCCAGCCAACAAACCAAGGGAATGGAAATGGACATAACCTCATTGCCAACTATGGCAAAGCCAGTCACCGAAAATTGGCAACCAATCACCATTAACACTATTGACAACTTTTTTGTTCATTCCAACAATATCCTAATGTTTCAAATCTAAATCATTAAAAAACAGATGGTACTAGTGGCCCTGGTGGTGGTAATAGTTGTTACTCTCTCAATTTGGCAAAATAATAACATGATTCACTTTAATTGACCCAACTATTGATCTACTGACCCCAAAGTTAGTGTCTCCTCAAATAAAGTTAAATGTCAAGGTTTAAAAATACTGACAAAAAGGTCTGAAAATTCAGATAATATAGCCAATTCTGACTCTTGATAGGAGATTATAATCTGATTTATAAGCTTCTATCAAATCTAAAGGAAAATTAGATCTCTCATTACATAAGGAACAAAGAAAAAAGGGAAAAAAAATCACAGATTTATGTTACGGAATCTTTGGTTATTGATGTCACATTCAACTACAACCAAATAAATTCTCTCCGAATCCAAAAGTTGGGATATCACAAACAACCAAATGAAAGACACTCTAAACAAGAACACTTTTGAGGGAGTAAATTTAAATCTCATTCAAAACCCTAAATCATGGTACAAGTGACAACCACAAAAAGCACAAGCCTGCACGTGTAATAAAAACGGAACTCTTGAAGAGCAATGAAGACACTGTAATCTGTATATCATCGGCAGAAAATAAAGAATTCCTGAAGCTGGACATTTTCACAGAAATTTTTTATTAGTATTCTATAATGAAAACATTCAAACTTGAAACTCACCACTGCACACGCCAACGTGTTTCACGTTTTTCAATAACGCGGAGACAAGCACGTAATGCTTCCACAGCCCTCACTCGAACAGCCAATGTTGGATCCCTCAAAGCAGCCCAGATAGCATCAACAAATTCAGGTACATGAACATTGAATACTGTTGAAGCATTCTCAGCCATTTCCTAGTAAGGATAGAAAAAGTAAAGCAGATGACCTTAGGTAATAAGGGCATGACTGGTAGTTGAATGAAAAAAGTCTCCTAACAGAACTAAACTAGAACAATAACAGTCTCTTAGTTGAAACCTGAAAATTTCTAACAATTTGCAAAATACTAAGACGTGTTAAAAATAAAATGAAAAGTGCGAGCACATTAAACACAATTCACATTCTCCAAAATGAAGAAATTTCCGGAGTCAGTAGTCTACTAATAATTGGAAGTAAGACCTCAAAGCTCGAATGCATAGTCAACCACTAATTGTCAAGCACACAGTTATACTAAACTTACTTTCAAGATTAAGACGGCAGCAAAACGACGATACTCAACTCTTTCACCACCAAGCCATTCGAGTGCATTTTTCAACTGAGAAAAAGAAGAGGTATCAGATCCTAATAAAACCCCAACTACCATGCAATTAAGTAAGAAAAGGCAAAACCCACCTGGCGTTCCACTTCATCCGCAGTCATTGCCCCGCCAGCTCTGGCTAAATGGCCAAGAACCTCACTAGCAAGAACCAGAATCTTAGGGTCACGCTTCACCTCAAATACAGTTCTCATGTAACTCGAAAACTTTGAAACCTTCGACGCATTCTCTCCAAGTGCTACATCAATCAACTCATCAATGGCCCTTAATGCTCCCAAATTTCCAGACACGTCATTGCTTTCTAAAAGAGTAGTAATTCGATCATACAACTGATCCATAAATCGCGAAAAAGCTTCTCCGCTAAGATCACGAGCTTCTTCCTCCACATGTCTCCTAAATGCTAATGCAGCCCCATCCTGTGGACAAATAATCCCATATAACAAATATTTACATACATATATGTGCACAAACACCCCCCCCCACACACACACACACATCTTTATATCAGGAAGAAAATAAAAAAGAAATTGACAGCCGAAAGATACAAAGAATTGTAATCAACAATTGAATAGAGTTAGGGAAATCCAAATTAACCTTTTGATTGCCTTTGGTGCAGAGGTCGGCGAGGACTCTGTTGAGAGCGTCTAGGTTACCGGCAGTGGTGGCAGGGACAGCACCACCAAAACGGATTGATTGTGCGGTGGCTGCCATGTGAGCCCAAAAAACCCTAACACACTCCCAAACACATCGAAACCCTTGGAATCTCTCCAGAGAATTCAGATTCAAATCTGTGAGAGAGAGAGAGTGCGTGTGCGTGTGCGTGTGCGTGTGTCTACCGATTACATGTAGATGTATAAATAAAGACGCGGTGGCTCGTTAGTGAGAGAGCCTACTTCTTTCTTCTTTGGTGAGTACGACTTACGAGCTTCAAATACACTTGCTGCAAAACCCTCCCCCCTCTCTCTTTCTCTCTCTCTCTAAACTTTGGTAACTTGTCGCTTTGCGAAATTTAGTTCGGTTTTTAGCTCTTGCAGACAAGACACGTGGCAAAATTTGATTAGTTAGATTTTTTTGAATTTTGGCCTTTAGGTCATTGTCGTTTTTGTTTTAGGAAATAATTCACCTTCTTTAAGCTTTATTATAAAGCTTTTAACACGATAGTGTGAATTAGCTATTCCCATCAATTAATAAATTTTTAGTTTTTTTCCAACTTTTTTTTTTCAAAATTAGTAGGGAATGATTTGATCTTTCAATTTAGCCTCTATCCCTAGATCTTTCTCTAAACTAAACCGATCCAAATCAAAAAAAATTAAAAGTAACTACATTAATAAGTTGGGATTAATTACCTGGCCTATCCTACCTACTAGTCCTAATAAGGTTGATAAAAATGAGAGAAGTACAACTCGGACAGGTTAATGATCAACTTTAACTCAATCCTACGTATATAATCTTTAATTTGATTTGACTTGAATGCAACTCAATGTTCTCAACTCAAGTACTACCTCAAGTTGAATTCGGATGGGTTCAGGTTAAATTCAAGTTTTTTTAATTCAGATTAATTTCATATTTGAATCTGGGTTACAAATCAAATAAAAAAAATTACACAAACACAAATAATTAAACCAAAAAGTTCAATATACCACAACCACCTCATTGCCACCACAACCACTTCCCATAGCCGCCACCATAGGCACAATTGGCTGCCCACACAGCCACCACACCATAGTCACTAAATTTGACCATCGTTGTGGTATTCGGCGCCATAGCCACCAAATCTGACCATCAGTGTGGTCTTCAACACATAGAGGGAGTGGGAGAGAGGTTGAGAGAGCCTGAGAGATGGAGAAAGGCTAAGAGATGGAGAGGGGCCGAGAACGAGAGAGACATTGTGAGATGTAGAGAGCAAAAATAAAAAATAAAAACCCTAGTGTTAATGCTTTATATATAAATTAGCAGTTGTCCGTACCATAAGGCACAACGTAACAAATAAAAAAATTGAAAGCAAATACATGTGCATTAGGAGACTGTATGCCATAAAAATTTGTCAATTAGAAAAACTAATAAAAAACATTGATAAATATAATATGAGCCCATTATTTTTTTAAAAAAAATTGATATAATACAAATCAAAACAATTTCAAATATTGTTCAGTTACTGTTTAATTATTGATTGATATCCAAATGGTAGTAAATTCAAAAATCATTGTGGTATGAAACCAATCAAATAAATATGAGATAGAAAGCAAGGAAGGGGGATTAAGAGATGAATTGCAACAAAAAATATAATAAACAACATCAGCAAACTCTAAATCAATTAAAACTAAATTTTTAACACTTTATCGCGTTAAATTACACTTTTTGTCCTCATAGTATGTTGATAGTTTAAAAAATGCTCATATCTCTAAATATAATATTTTTTTTCTATTCTTCCAAACAATTACGGTTAAATTCTCTCTAAAAATAAGACCCTACAAAAATATGAAAATGTGCAAACATTATAAAGTAAATATGTTTTTCGTATATCATACTTAAATATATTTGTAGAGAGATAGAATGCCATCAACGAAAAATTGATTTTGATCAAATTTTCATGATTAAATCCAACTACGCTAACATTATCAAATTGAGAAACTAAATACATAAAAATTGCGTCTCATAAAGAATTCAATCAAAATGCCCTAAAAATACAACTATACAGAACTATTACCACTAATAACACCATTACCATTATTACCACTTAGCCTAAATTTTGATAACTAATCAAATTTTGTACTCAAATTGAAATTAAATCTAACAAAGTCAACTATTTAAATTATTTTTGCTATTCAATTCAAACCAAATTTCACCAACTACGTTAATTTTATGCACAAATCTGTCCCAAGAGCTTTACCCCCATTACCACTCATTCATCACAATTTCGAGATTAATTATTATCACTAAGATCACTATCATTATCACTTCCAAACCTAAAACATATCTTTAACAACCATCGGTACCACTTCGAGAAGGCGAACTTACTTTTAACTACAATTCAAGCCAAATAATGTATCAAGTTGACAACAAATCAAATGAATTATAAGACATATTGACAATAAATCAAGTTGAATTTCAGTAAACTGCATTCAAACTCAATAAATATTGTGCATACACCTCATAATGGTTCTTATCATTTTTGCTTCTTTTTTTTATGCAAACTATTCCCAAATGTGCCAAAAAAATAAAAGGCTTGACTCTTGATCAAAAGCACTCCTTGGTTCTTCCAAAATTTTTTGACAAAACAAACACCAAAAATAGATGAACTCATCATTATTCACAAAAGAACCACTTAACCTGAACCAATCTTAGGTCCTCTTATCCTAGAACATACAGAAAAATATTGTAAATAATCTAAAAAAATGTAAAACTAAAAAAAATAACAAACTCAAACCAATAAGCCACTTTTTTAGGAGATCATTGTCTGCTGGAGTTGTGTCATTGCTGATCGTTGGAGCTACGTCATTGTGCTATAGATGGTTGCTATAGCAAAAAAAGTAAGTTCGTTAAAAAATAAGGATAATGTTGGCCCGCTTATTAAAGCAATAATACAAACACTAGATGTTTCGATGCCTGTGGTGAATTTCGGTAGAAATGTGTGCGTGTGGTGATGGGGAGGCATTTGTTGGCTAAGGAGGTTTCGATGGCAGTGGTGGGGACTGGGGAGGAAAGGGGGTGGTGGTGCTGGTTGACTGCAGGTAAGAGTTTAGCCTTGGATATATAGGGTGTTTGGTGGGCTGTTATGAGTTTTGGTGGCAGAGGGGAAAGGAAAGGAAAGGGTGGTTGCGGTAAGGGGAGACATATGCAGATAGAGAGAGAAAGAGAAAGGGGAGGGATACCCGGGTGAAGTTTCAAGATTGTCAATTGTTGATCACTGTGTCTCTGATAGTGCCTCTATAGTGTTGTTGTGGTGAGAGGGTTTCGGTGAGGAGAGAAAAAAGAGAGAAGAGAAAGGGGCGTCGGTGGCTATGGAGGCGACTTAGACCAATTTAAGGCCTAAAACAGAAATATTAAATGGAGGCCTTTATATTTTTAGTATTATTTTTAAAAAAATTAATTTATTTTTAATTTTCTATTTGAGAGGGAGACAAAAGAATGATGTGTTAATATTGTTGAAAAAAAGATTTAACTTTTATTTTTATTTTTTACCAGAGAGAAGAGAGAGTATGTTTAATTTAAACTTTTTTTTGTTTTTTATTTTTTTACTGCATAGGGAGAGAGAGAGAGAGAGAGAAAGAGAGTGAGTGGGAGTAAATATGAGTTGAGTTTTCGGTATTTTTTTTTTTTTTTAATTTCTAAGTTTTTAATGTTATGGATTATATTATAGGGCCAAATTATTACAATAAAAATTTTGATTGAATTTAATTTTTTGGAGTTTTTTTGTAGGGCTTAAAATTTAATGGCTTTAATTTTTTGTGTGGGTTAGTGATGTACCTAAAATTATGGAGCCTAATGCTCATGCTATTCGTTGGGGGCAAAGATTGAGAGGAGGAACAAAGAGAGAAAGAAAGGGAGGCAGAGGAGAAAGGAAATATCAGAAATAATTTAGTGGAAATATCGAGATAGATGCAGGTGATAAAAGAAAGTAGAGTAAATAATATAGTATTATCATTATATTGAATATTCTGAAGTTGTGATGTAAAAAAATGATTTTGTTGATATGAAAAGGATTTTATTTAGGGCAGTATGAGTGAGGGTCAAAATTTAAATATGGACGTTAATTTTAGATTTGGACAAAATTTTATATTTATATGACATTGATTTTGGGCGAAATTGAGAGGCGAATTCAATGTAGGAGTGTCAATTTTGAAAACTAAAAATTTTGAACAGCAAAAATATTTCAAAAGAGCTAATGTGGTACGTCGAATCAAAATGATTTGAAACGTTAATAGCTTGAGACAGTTTAAAATAACGCCGTCTGTTGGATGATGACTTTTTTGATTACAAAACGATTAAGACTGCTCTTTATCTCCAAAATTCAAAATTATTTTACTTTATTATATAGATATATATACACATATAATTTTTATTTTTTATTTTTTCGGGTTCGAGTTGACTTGCCGGCCCGAATTCAATTCGGGTTAAGTTTTTTTGATCCAAATTCAATACAAGTATTAAAAATTTTAACTCAAATCTTATTTTTTTTTAGTTGAATTTGAGTTAGCGCGCTCAAGTTGCAATCCTAAAAAATGATGTGAAAAGCAAGAAGTACGACTCCCGGTTCTACTTCACTAAACTCCTGTTCTTATATAAGGAGGAAATCACTCCCACCAGATTGAATCACATTTTTTTTTGACTTATTTCCCAATTTGTTAGATTGTCAATGGATTTTGGGCTTTGGGTTATGGCATTTTTTTGGGGGGAGGGGGGAAGAGCTCACTTTCTTTAAGCATTATTATAAAGCTTTCAATATGACCGTGTGAATTAGTTTTTCCCATTAGTTAATAAATTTTAGCTTTTCCAACTTTTTTTTTTTCTTAAATTAGCCGATAATGATTTGATCTTTCAATTTACCCCAATACATTTTTTACTTGTTCACACGAATGATCAACATTATGTTACTGCTAACTTTTTCCTTTTTGTATGTTTTTTTTTTCAAATTTTCCAAAATTTGTTGTGGGCAAATAGATATTTTAATTGTTTTCATTTGAAATTTCAATTCTTTAAGTGCTCAACTT